AATCACATACAGGTTGTTAAGATCCGAAATGGAGTTGAGACGGTCGTGTAACTGTTCTTTTATTGTTAATCATCTTGTGAGCTAGATAAAAACAAACACAGAAAAATAATAATATTTCATTATCTGTTAATACAGTTAATTCAATCCCTTTAAAAAGCTATGTCAAAATGATCAAACAATACATATTTCCTTCATTGAATTAAGAGTGTTAAGTGTGTCCTCTATCTTCTGAACACCCGGGATCTTCCTATTTTATGGAACCATCGTTTTGTTAATTTTGATAAAACCGGGAAATCATACGGGCGTACACTCGCAAAATGGGCTAGCTACGCCTCTGGGTAAATATGGTTTTCCAACCTACCCTATGCATACACGTGTTGTTTATGGGTATGTAGGCGTTAACTATGCTGGTGTAGACGTGAAATTACACTCGGTGCACTATTTGTGCAAATGTGAAAGCTGTACATCATATATTAAATGAGTTATGTATTCCTGGAAATAACATGTGAGTATAAAGACGACTGCATAAAGATTCCAAAAAGTACACATCTCCCTAACACCAAATTTGAACATATGTTGGCTAGGTATACTAGGTATATAGGCTCATCTGACATTTTCAGTACATTTTCAAAAAATGCCAGATCTGCAGGATATAGCTTTAGTCTGGAGTCAATTTACAGTTGATCAGATACTATAATTCTAGTATTTGAACACATCCTTTAGAGGGATACATTATGATCTGACTGTATAGTGAGACTGTAACACATGTTATTAAGCTCACACGCATTGCAGCTAACACCCCAGTCACATTTGTCGTACGGTGGCCGTGCGTCGACCGCAGATCAATTAAATCGGTGAATTTCTGCGGCGATCGTAGAAAAACTACGCTCGCCTTGCGGCCTCCGTACGGCGTATGCAGATTTTTACAGGCCGCAGGGAAGGCGTAGAAATTATAACTCGGAGTTATAATATTTTTCATTTCTGCGGTCCCTGTAGAAATCAACAGGCCGTTGCCAGAAAGGTCCTTCGGTGGTCGCAAGTCGGGTTTACCGTTGGCTTGCGTCTGCTGTAGGGTTAGGCGCTAAAATGAACTCGACGGGCGGTATAGATGTTTTTCAACGGGTGTTAGATAATGTCTTGACGCCCGCTATTGAACATTTTAACGCCGTTAGTTTACGCCTGTATTTGTTTTTAACGCGTATAGAATTCACTTAAATTAAGTTAAGAAATTAAGTGGTCGAACACATTCATTGATCGCTATAAAGGATGCCATGTGATGATGCATGCAATTGTTGAGTTTACACATTCTTCATCAGTTTTGCTTATTGTAAATGTATGAAATCAGCAATTTTCTCGTGGTTTTAATTGTTTAACTTTACTATTTGGTCACTCTCATTGCTCGATCATGCTAGAAATTTAACATTTCGCCTTAAGTCACTGCCCAATTAGCGGGCACACAAGCAACACCCCCTCCCAACTACAGTAGATACACCACACTCTCTCTGAAGTGTATAACAGTTCTTGGAGGTGACATTCACTGGTATATATGCCATATAAGCCATCGCATGGTTTTCATTCTATAATTAGGATGTTTATCTTATCATAAATTGTAGCATACGGTTTCGTAGCCTTTTACGTTATTCTTAAACTCATTTTGCAATACGCATTTATCGCATTACCTATACGTATCCGTAGCAAACATACGGATAGGGATAGGTACACGTAGGTAAACGCAGATCAATTAAATCAATGTATTTCTGCGGCCTCCGTACGGCGTATCCAGTCTTTTACAGGCCGCAGGGTCGTCGTAAAAATTATAACTCGGAGTTATAATATTTGTTCATTTCTGAGGTCCCCGTAGAAATCAACTGGCTCAACAAGATTGAATCATTATTTGTCAATGTTTCACGATCACTTTTCATTTGATATTACATCCTGGCACTATGAATAACATTTATAAATTGTCCTGATGTAAATAAAATGAAAAAAAGTATTATTTATCAACAGAAATTTAAAATTCACCGTGCGGCTGCCGTGGGAAATGTGACTGCAAAAGTATGAGAGCGCAGAAATTCTACGGCGAGCGTAGAAAAGCTACAAGCCGCAGAAATGATGGACCGCACGGCGGCCGTGGGAAATGTGACTGGGGTGTAGAAATCAAACCTGTATACCTTCTCAAAATATACTGCAATTTTGTCGTTTCTACAATGGGTGTTGATAACTGCCAACACAGTACATGTTTCTTCAATTTACCTTTTAATTTGCTCTAAAAATTTAATACTTCTTTAGTTAAATCTAACAATCTTGAACGAATATTTAAGGACCTCAATGCAACACACTAAAATGTAAGCAGCAGGCTTCTGATTGTTATTTATTTGCGCAAGGATCTTGGAGTTGCTCTTTTAGCAAGGATGCGTTAAATCGTTATGTAAGTAAGGTTCTGATTGGTTCATAATTTACGGCGCTAAAAATAAACTCGACGGGCGTGAAGATGTTTCTCAGCGTGTGTAAAATAACCGTCTTAACGCCCGTAATTAATCATTTTAACGCAGTAAGTTCACGCCTGTAAATGTTATCTAAACGCCCGTAGAATTACACAGGCGTAATTTTTCGTCTGCACGGGCGTAATTTTACCGTCTACACGAGCGTAATTAACGCCTACACACCCGTCAAGTACACGTGCATTCTTTGGGCGGGTAAGCCAACCATAGGTAAATGGGTTATTTACACTAATCTTAAACTCCCTAATGTGAAATATTTACCGGAACCCCAAATTGCATCTTATATCTTGAATGAATGAGTAATACTAATATAACAAGAACACAAACGTGTACAAAATGCAGAAGCACTCGTTGCCATAAGTCGCACCCTCAAAACCCGGGTTTGCCGTCATCCAAATCCGCCTTTGTAAAAATGTGAACGGTTCATAATTAGACTCGTTCGTGTTATTTTCGCGAGTTTTCAAACCTGGATTTAATTGTTTTTACTAGAAGGGTTCCTCGTTATCAATTGTAATATATAAGATTTTATCCCAGACAGACACAATAGAAATTGCAACACTGGAAGATGGTAATAGCGTGGAATTGTATTTAAATCAAATATTATTCATATGGATGAATAAAAATAAAATTGTTTCAAGTTCCTCATCTCTACTGGCCACATTTCCTTGTTTTAGTATAGCCGTTGTACTGATATATTATCTTAGTCAAAATAGAGAACGAACGAGTATAAGGGGTCTTCTAGCTTTGCACATTTCAGACCAATCATAATACGTAACTATTTCCAATATGTTTAACGTCTTGGTAGATGCAAAATAACACGTATAAAATTCTAATAAAACGAACTTTTATATTTCGTGGCCTCATTAAATACTTATTTCGTTTGGAATGGCCTTAAACCCTGGTCCGCGAAACAAACATTTAAATAAGGGATTGGCGCACCCGGGTCTGACTGTAAACCTCCTGTTCACTGTCGTGTGAATTATGAATGTAGTTTCGCACACTTGTCAACGGAAACAAACAGTGAACCCTGCTTTCCCAAACCCGGGTTTCCAGGATTCGCCTCGCATGCCTTCGACTCTTTCTCACAAAATGGGTGATCCCGTCAAATGGTTATCCTAAAAATGAGTAGACAAGACTTTACCGACACAATTTGATGACAGAAAATCCAAAATGGCCACCTTAAAATTTACCAAAAATGCCAAAAAAATTCAGTTCTACATTTTCATACTAAGAACCACCCCTGAAAATTTTAAATTGATCCGTCACACAGTTAACCAGAAAACATGTAAACAAGACTTTACAGACAAGATTTCAGGACGGAAAATCCAAAATGGCTGCCTTGACATTTACCCAGAATGCCAAAAAACTAAAAACTAATCAGATCTAGATTTTCATACTAAGAATCATCCCTGAAAATTTGAAATTGATCTACCAAACGGTTGACCTAAAAACGCGTAGACAAGACTTTACGGGCAAGATTTTAGGACGGAAAATCCAAAATGGCTGCCTTGACATTTACCCAGAATGCCCAAAAACTGATCAGATCTAGATTTTCATACTTAAAATCATCCCTGAAAATTTAAAATTGATCTACCAAACGGTTCACCTGGAAATACGTAGACAAGACTTAACAGACAAGATTTTAGGACGGAAAATCCGAAATGGCTGCCTTGACATTTACCCAGAATGCCCAAAAAATAATCAGATCTAGATTTTCATACTAAGAATCATCCCTGAAAATTTGAAATTGATCTACGAAACGGTTCACCTGAAAACGCGTGGACAAGACTTTACAGACAAGATTTTAGAACAGAAAAATCCAGTTTTTGCTGATTTCTTTTTACAAAATTATCACATATAACTACTGTTAACAATAACATAGGCTTTTACAACAAAGTAGACCTAAAAATATTTATAAAACTACTAAATAGTTAAAGTATGAAAACTGAAAAACACCATTCAATATGATACAAAGTATTATCGCGCGCTAACTTTTCTTAAAACATTCAAAATGGCTGACATGACTGAGCTAACAGGTCCAAAACCTAATCAGATGTAGAATGAAGTGAGTTGAACAAGATGTTAAAGTTTTGAAAGCAACTGTGAAGCCGTTTTTCATAAAGTTTGCAGACAAGGATTTTAGCATTTGACTTCAAAATGGCCGACAGGAAGTAGGTATCGAGTTAAATTTTTTTCATCCACATCTGTATTCACTCATGAGTTATCCCTGAAAATTTGAAGGTGATATCTGTAACGGTTTTGGAGAAAACTGCCAGGCGTACGGACGGACAGACGGACATACGGACAGACGGACGGACAGACAGACGGACGCGCCTAGGCCGACAATATGGCCCCACACTATGTGGTGGGGACATAAAAACTGGACAGACCCAAAAATGTGTCAATTCAAGTAAACCCCAATTGCTTATTTGCATCGTATTTTGGAGCTTTGTACGAGGCTGCAATTTTAATCATGCATAAGTTGAATTTAGTACTAACATCATCATTTCTTGGTGGCTTAGTGTACTTGAGGAATGGTTGTACAACAACAGTGAAGTCATCTTTAGTATCATAGCGTCCACCTTTTACCAGGTCCTCAGTTAATCTCTGGTAGTCTTCTATCTCCTCCATAAACCTCTTGTAACCATCCCCACTGGGAGGAAAAGCTGCACAGTGACACTCTACCCTGTAGGAATACATAGACAACATATGTAACAATTGGCCTTGAGGGAGGAAATCAAGGCTTGCACAGTGACGCTACATAGACAATGCATGTAACATATATTTCTTGCAACTGGCCCCGAGGAGTGAATTAAGGCTTGCACAGTGACGCCACATAGGGGCTTGAGCAAGCTATTGGTAGCACTTTTAGTCCACCTAGTTGATTTTCAAACTTGCTAGAAGAAAACATTTTCCTGAATCATAATTTCACTTAATATCTTACCTTTCATTTTTTATTGACCCAGAGATAACTTTTTGCATTTATATTGGAAAAAATCAGGATGATATTATAAGCCCAAACTTTGCCTCTTCGGAAAGGACACACACACAATTGCAATTATTTAAGGGTATATTTCATTATATATGTTCCGCATATTTTTTTAAAGCATGTACATATATGATTCTAAATAACTAATAGTTTTTATCTGAATCATTATCATAGAAATGAAATAGGAAGACCAGTCTCGTCACTTGGCCTGTGATTTTGGCAAACAAGTTCACTAATTTTTTCGGATTACTGTAGTACCTAATAACTTTGAATATCCTGTTGATATACCATTACGAAGTAGTAGTATACGGCGGGCCTTTCGACCCCCTACCGGCACCGGTACTGTTCCAGTGCACCATGGTGCACCGGAAGTGACGTAATAGGTCAGGTGCACCGGAAGTGACGTCATAGATCACGTGGTAAGGTGATGCACCGGAAGTGGAAGTGACGTCATAGGTCACATGGTTACTGATATAACTGGTCAAAGGTTACTGATAAGAGAGAGATAATAAACTGATAACACACTGAAAAAGATGGTCAAAGGTTACTGATAATTGATAAGAGGGAGATAATAAACTGATAAGACAGTGAAAAAGATAACTACCATGGTTTCTGATATAACTGGCTCAAAGGTTACTGATAATTGATAAGAGAGTGGTTGTGATGATAAGCTATCTGTCTACTTCATGGATGTTTCATTGTTATAGGTCAAAGGTGAATAAAAAACTGATAAAACAGTAAAAAGATAACTGCAGAACCATTTCATTCAAACAGGTTTTAACTTGCAGAATTATAATAAAAAGTCAGAGTATAGTATATTTAACCAATCAGGTTTGAGATGCAGAATCATTTTAACCAATCAGGAAACAGTATGTTTGGACTATTTTAACCAATCGCAGATCCATTTCAACCAATCGGGGTACAGTATGTTTGGATCATTTTAAACAACCGAGATGCAGTATATTCTCATCCAATCAGATATAAGAAAATCACCCAATAGCAGCATTTTTGCATCATTTCACCAGTTCAGACCGGTATTGAAGTTTTATAACCAACAAGTCTCCTGACATTTTTTCACCAAACGGTCACTTGATTCTTATTCCCGACTCATTTTAGAGCATTTTTGCAATCTTCACGCTTGAGTGATTTTCGCTTATTTCTTGAGTTTGAGGTATTTAATCACCAAATGAACACTGTATTCTTACTCCCAATACTTTTAAGAGCATTTTTACAATTTTCACGCTTGAGTGATTTTTGGTGATTCCTGGAGTTTGAGGCATTCTTTTACCAAACGATCACTTGATTCTTACTCCTGGGTCATTTTAAAGTATTTTTTAAAGTGTCACGTTTGGACGATTTCAGTCACTGTTGATCGATTTCTGCTAATTTTTTGAGTTTAAGGCATTTTCACAAAATAGACACCCACCCACAATACAAAGTAACACGCTTTAATAAGCATCTGTTAATTTAACAGGCCACTGATAAAAATATAAACCCCTACAAGATAAGTAATAAAAAATGCTAACGTTAACAGTTTTACAGCGAAACATTGTCGACCAATCAAAGTGTATATACAAATGAACTGCTGAACCATTTCAATCAATCAGATCAGATTATTGCACTCTTTGACCCCACCACCGCCACCACCGCCGCCACCACCGCCACCGCCGCCACCACCACCGCCACCACCACCGCCACCGCCACCTCCGCCACCGCCGCCACCACCACCACCACCGCCACCGCCACCACCGCCGCCACCACCGCCACCGCCGCCACCACCACCGCCACCACCACCGCCACCTCCACCACCACCGCCGCCGCCACCACCGCCGCCGCCACCACCGCCGCCACCACCACCGCCTCCACCGCCACCGCCGCCACCACTGCCGCCGCCACCACCGCCGCCGCCCCAGTGCCACAACTATCGATAACAACAACCCCAACAACAATAAAAATGCATTTTAGTGCTATAGTAGTTTATTAAAATACATATTTTCATTTATACAAATTATTTCATAGTCCCTTGTGCATGATGGATTTACTGTCTGTGTTGACGTTTTCCAGGAGGGCCAGAATACACCATAACATCCCTCTTTTTCTTAGGTTTTTTAAAAAGTCTATTCATCACATTTCCATTGGAGGTGTGGTCAAAGGAATCATTGTCACTCATTTGTCTGTAAACTCTTTTGGGTGGCCTGTTCCGTTCGCCCATTTCTTTCTGCTGCTTGTCAATTTCTGCCTTGGCTCTCTGATAAACAGCTTCAGTGGGACTGACGTGTTGAACAATTGGTTCGCGGACTGATGACACTGGTACCCACTTGAGTTTTCCTCGTTTACCATATCCAGCATGTTCGATGACTCTGCCTTCTACTTGGGCCCGTATAAACTTCTTCCACACTTCTGGGTTGTCCACATAAGGCACTATCTTAGGCATTGTTGCTTCTTCCTTTTCTATCAAACATCTGATGCTAATGTCCAAGGTTTCCCTTTATATACTCATCAAACATTCATTCATGAAATCTAACTACGTTCGTCTTCTTCTTCCATCTCACTAGATGTATCTGCATCTTCGAAATCACTTCCGTCAATAGACTCTTCATCGTTAAACATTTCATCAGCGATATAAGAATATTTGGCCAATGTTTTTCTGATGGCTCTCGACAGAGATATGTCTTGATCAATTAAGAATTCAATTTCTTCTACAATTTCTCGATGTAAATCAGCATCTTTGACTTCAATGAATAACCTCAGAATTTCACCATAATCATTTAAAAACTCAGATTTTGCTTTGGGATAAAGTTTTGCTTTGAGCTTTTGAGTGATTTCTTTCTCCGATAATCCCTTGTTAGTGTATTTTTCATATAAAATGTCAGCTTCTTTTTTCAATCCATCCAACACATTCTGCTTCAGAGTAGAAAATGTATAATTTTCCTTCAAATCTTCAGCATGGGGTTTATTCTTATCAGTATCTCCATATTGGCAATGTTTTTGATGTATGTCTGTATGTTTTGTGGTAATCAACACTATGCCACAGTCTTTACAATGGGGGAAATGCAAAATGGAGGGGTTTCTTAGAGTAACATCATCCATTGGACCTGGATACGTAGCCACCATCTGACTTGGTTGAACAATAGTATTTGGTCGGAATTCCGTCATATCTTGCCTTTGTTGAGCAGTGGACCTTCCTGCCGTGTTATAAAAATGTTGAAACGATGTATATGGATCACTTTCTGCAACTTGCTGCAATGCATTAGGCTTCAGCCTCGAACCATCTTCAGTTTCTTGCTTCAGATCCACCACTAAGTAACCAAATGGATTTTCCGTAGCTTGTCTATAAATGTCAAGCAAAGTATATGTCTTTCCAGGATACATTTGCGATGCCAAAACACTTATCTGTCTTTGATCCCTCGGGTTCTTGAATAATACCAAGTAATGGCTGTTTAAGCTCATTGTCCTGCTTTCTCCATTGGGTGGGAAAATATTTTGTTGTAGCGTGATAATGGATATATTTTTGTGATGAGAACCCGCTGTGTATAGCAATGTAACTGCCTTGCTTAAGTCCGCCATTAGGTCATCTATCACAACCAAATTGGTCACATTCTCATCGAAGTAATCGGGGTTCATCAAGTCATCGCAAAGACCCATAACAAACTCGATATGAGGCTGTTTTCTCTTTATTTCTGCATACAAAGGCTGCCATTGTTTGAAGAACCATACTATCCTTTGTGGCCGTGGTTTGATAAATTGTTCAGCTCTATCAATAAGGTCGACAACATAGGTTGTCTTTCCACATCCAGTTGGACCTGCGACAATTTTAGTAAAGGGATGCCTGAACTGTATAGGCGAGTCAAGATCAAAATTAGTCTCATCTTTTTTGTGCATGTTTTTCATATGTCTCAGAAGACTATCCTTCCTGGCAAATGTACCAGAACACACAGAGCAAATGTAATCCATGTTGCCACGTAAATGAGGTTGCACTGAATGAATGAATCAAGTCTGCTTTTCACTTTTATATCAAAGGATTAATAGGCAGTGGTGGTGGTGGCGGCGGCGGTGGTGGCGGCGGTGGTGGTGGTGGCGGTGGTGGTGGTGGTGGCGGCGGTGGCGGAGGTGGCGGTGGCGGTGGTGGTGGCGGTGGTGGTGGCGGCGGTGGCGGTGGTGGCGGCGGTGGTGGCGGTGGTGGGGTCAAAGAGTGCAATAATCTGATCTGATTGATTGAAATGGTTCAGCAGTTCATTTGTATATACACTTTGATTGGTCGACAATGTTTCGCTGTAAAACTGTTAACGTTAGCATTTTTTATTACTTATCTTGTAGGGGTTTATATTTTTATCAGTGGCCTGTTAAATTAACAGATGCTTATTAAAGCGTGTTACTTTGTATTGTGGGTGGGTGTCTATTTTGTGAAAATGCCTTAAACTCAAAAAATTAGCAGAAATCGATCAACAGTGACTGAAATCGTCCAAACGTGACACTTTAAAAAATACTTTAAAATGACCCAGGAGTAAGAATCAAGTGATCGTTTGGTAAAAGAATGCCTCAAACTCCAGGAATCACCAAAAATCACTCAAGCGTGAAAATTGTAAAAATGCTCTTAAAAGTATTGGGAGTAAGAATACAGTGTTCATTTGGTGATTAAATACCTCAAACTCAAGAAATAAGCGAAAATCACTCAAGCGTGAAGATTGCAAAAATGC